CTTTCTATAAAGACTCATGGCTATTATCTGCAACCTTTAATATAATCAAATAAATATCCTCTTATTTACATATATATTTATTTGATATTTACAGAAGTTTTGGTCAGCGTTGAGCTAATCAATTTCTGCTTTTTGGTATTAAAATCTAGTAAGACGATTTTTATATTATGATCATTTTACAATAGAAATCTAAGAGGAATACTAACTCTTTTATAAATTATTTCAATAAACTCAATTGATAATGAATTGTTCAAATACATTTTAACCAAATTATATAATATAACATGTGAAAAAATATTCATTAAAAACTTTTTTTGCTACATACGCAGTTGAAATGAACTCTCGTCCTCAAAGACATTCTTATTTTTGCGAATAATACATTTATTGAATGTGATGGAATGATTAAACTGCATATACAGTGACTGAGATATTGGTCAATGTTCGATTATAATATATTTAAATAACTAATAAGTGTTTTATTAAATAGTAAAACAATATAAAAATAAAATAATTAGTGTTCTTGTTTTTATTTCTTAAGATCAAAGAAAAAAAAATGTCTTTATAAGGAAAAAGCGATTTAACAAAAAAAATAATGTTCCTTTTAAATTGTAATATGGCAGGGTGCCTCCATTTACATTCACATGATGATCTAGAAACAAACAAATAAAGAAAATAATTTCGAGAACAAAATGCGCTTACATTCTAACTGTTTTAATTCAGTTTCAATAGCATTAAGTCTTATTGCCACCAGGGACGGCGCGACCGGGGGGGGGGGGGGATAGGGGGATTACCCCCCTCCTGCTTTCGAGAATTACAATGGAGCTTTCTCCGATTTTCTCGATTTCCGGAGAAACCCTCCCCCTGCTTTCTCCGCTTCGCGCCTTCCCTGATTGCCACGTTAACGACATTGTTCAATAATGCTGACTATTGGATGGGGTCGTCAACAGTCGAGCAATTAAACAGCTGTGTATGTGCTTCATTCAATTGTTGACGTAAGTTGTTTTCTTCATGTTTTACTTCTAGCAGCTATAAACATTAAAAAAAAATATGTTTATATAACTAATATTGAGCGGTTATATAAAAAAGAATTTCGATGATTTCATCCGTAAGAGACACTTAAAGTCACGTGACTAACTATTTTCCTGAAATGGATACAAACTAACCTTTTCTAAGAATGGATCGATGGCCATCAATAACGCTTTTCTTTATTTTTATTCTAATGACTTACATTCCCCTCGTTCTCTTTATATAGTGTCAATTCTGTTTTTTATTCATATGCAGTCATTTATTTTCATTAATCAATGCCCAATAAGATAATATATCGGTCATCGCCAGCAAAGAAAAAAATTCATACTCCCAATATTTCGTCAAACATGTCCGCCTTTTCTTGAAAAATCGTCGATTGAAGAATACAAATGAGGAAAACATGACATTTTTTTCAATATATCAAAACTGTACGCTTCAGTAAATGAAATACAGATTAAAATATTAACCAAAATTTCTAAAAACATATCAACAATTATAAGAATAACACTATCAATAATAACTTCAGTCATACCGAAAATAATAATAATCACGACGACAGAACTTATAATACTAAATATACCAAGAATATATATACCAAAAAGTTTCTACCGATGAAATAATACCAATACTTATGCCTTTAACTATTTTGATCACTATACTGATCAGTGTAACAATAAAAGTTCTTCCAACAATACGAAAGATAGTAACAATGACTGAACGTTTGACCTTAAATAAAATGATTTAATGTATATCGAGAAAACTAAAATGCATTATTTCTCTTTTTTTTTATCTCTTCACGTGCACGTGGCACGGTTTATGCAACCATTTCCAATTCTTCGACTGTCTCCTATTTCAAAATGAAACCTCGATCGCTACATAATGTCACAACCAAATAGAATATACAGAATATCGAGAGTGTGAGGTTGTGAGTGTAGCACAAGGGGGAAACGGCGGACTTTTGGACTTGAAGTTACTTTGAGCTACTTGAAGTAGCTTACTTTGAAGTATTTTTCAACTTCAAATTTACCTGAAGTTACTTGAAGTTACTTTAAGCTACTTGTTCCTACTTTGGGCTACTTGTGTGGTACTTTGAGCTACTTCAAGTAGTCTACTTTGACGTACTTTTCTACTTCAAGTCCGCCGTTTCCCCCTTGGTGTAGCATCAGAAGGTTCACAGTCACGATTATTTCTCCTGATTTATCGAATTAAAATAGCCAAAAAAGTTCTCTATTTAGTCAAATCGATCAAGAAAAAAACCGAAATTTATTCGTTCAACGATCAGATCATCATTCAAGTAATTTAATTAAAGGAAAATTCTTTTAATTCGATTTCTACGATAAATAATAACTTATTAAATTCAGATTCTGATTTTGAAAAATATTATCAAAATGGAAGAATAGCAATAAAATTATGTCTAACAATAAAATTTCCAAAAACTTCAACACTTTTTAATCGTTCACGTTCTTATCGTTCTCGTTCTCATAATAATAATTCTAATAATGATCAAAATCGAATTTCTCAAAAAGAAAAAACTTGAAAAGGAATTCGTTCAAGATTAATTCATAGGAGAATTTACATTACCAACAAACCCTCCAATAACAGTAACTATTGAACCACAATCAAATATAAATGAAAATTTATCGAAAGATAATTGTTTTCATGATGATCATATTTATTCACCTGAACATATTATAAATCCATATCAACAAAGATCAACAAATGATTCTTCATTAAAAAGTCCAACAACAATTGTTTCATATTTTATAGATCTTTTAAAACCAAGTGATAATAAATTTAGCATTAAAATTATTTGGAAGTCGAAAAGGTCTTCTTAAAGAAAGTTTAAGACAACAAAGAGCTGGACATTGTATTACTCATCCTTGTTCCAATTTTCGGTTGTTTTATTTATTTTATTAAAATTAATTTCTATATTAAACATTTTTTTTAATTTAGTTTTTATTGGGCTTTAATTATGTTAATATTATTAATAACAATTGTTACTGTCCTTCCTGTTGCCATAGCATTTTTTAGTGATGAAATTAATTTAGTACGATGGTTTACTTTTAATGTTATTTCCGATGCTTTTTTTCTTTTTGATATTCTTGTTAATTTTCGAACGGATAAAATTTTTCTTTTTTCAAAAAAAATAAAAACATCTATTAGCGTTTTTTCTTTTGTTGTTTACAGATGTATTAAGAAATGATTATATTGATGAAATAATTCTTGAACCACGTTTAATAGCAATTCATTATATAAAAACTTGGTTTATTCTTGATTTTCTTAGTTCATTTCCAGTCGATTATTTTTTTTTATTATTTGATGCGGGAGAAAATTCAGGAGGATATTCAATAGCACGTACAGGTCGAGCTATTAAAGTTCGTTGACTCGTTAAATTACTTTCATTACTTCGATTACTTCGATTATCACGCCTTGTCAGATATATTTATCAATGGGAAGAGGTGAGATTTATTGAAAATTTTTTTATTTTAGTCAATTTGAGGCCAGGAAAGATCATCTCATTAAAATAGGTGATATCGAGTCAGATATCGATCGATAGAACTTCGTGTGGCCAATTTCCTTCGAGTTCATCTTCCCGTCTGGGTGAAAAACAATTTGCATTTTTTTTCTTCTTTAATTCAGTATCATGTCGATTTATTTATTTATTTTAATTTTAATTTATTGTTTTGTTAATGTTAATATAATTGTTTGTTTTAAAACTAGTTCGATGCATGTCAAAATAACGATCCTCTATTAGAAAATCTTATTTCATATTCTAAGGTCAATTATAAAAACAACGCATGAATATCACATATTATGAATGCATGATCATAACTCGATGGGAGGAGAATAAGATCTTCCTACCCGATCAATTTATTTGTTTTTTTTTGAATGTTTTTTTTATTTAATATAAAAATGAATAAAAAAAAGACGTGAAATATATGTTTTAGTTTTTATCAATAGCAAGTATGGTTATGCGTATTCTTAATTTACTAGCATTAATTATATTATTGGCACATTGGAATGGATGTTTACAATTTATGATTCCAATGTTTCAAAATTTTCCATCTGATTGTTGGGTTGCACTCAATGCTCTTCAAAATGCTCCATGGACAGAACAATATACAGTTGTCCTATTTAAAGCTCTTTCACATATGCTTTGTATTGATTATGGTCGTTATTCTCCTCAAAGTTATGTTGATATGTGGTTAACAATGCTTTCTATGGGTATATATTATTCTTATTTAATATATCCATTATATTTAGTTATTTAGTTATTGGAGCAATATGTTATGCTGTTACAATTGGACATGTATCAGCACTTGTTCAAAGTTTTGATACATCACGACGTTTATATAATGAAAAAGTCTAATTTATAATAGATTCTTTTAAATAAAAAATAAATATTTATTTAATTTAGTTTAAACAAGTTGAAGAATATATGGCATGGAGAAAATTACCTCGAGAAATGCGTAATAGAATAAGTGATTATTATGAACATCGTTATCAAGGAAAAATCTTTGATGAAGATACCATTTTAAATGAACTTTCAGAAAAATTACGATTGGTTTGTCTTTTTCTTTTTTTATATTATTTTCAATTTAATTAAAATTAAAAACAAAAAGGATATTATTAACTATAATTGTCGATCTCTTGTTTCATCAGTTCCATTTTTTGCAAATGTTGATCCAAATTTTGTTTCTGATGTTATTACGAAATTACGTTTTGAAGTATTTCAACCCGGTGATCAAATAATTCATGAAGGAACTATTGGAGATAAAATGTATTTTATCCAAGAAGGAGTTGTAGATATAATTAAATCAGATGGACAAGTTTTAATAACTTTATCTGATGGATTTTATTTTGAAGGTTGAATTTTTTTTTATTTAATAAATATTTTTTTTTTTGTTTTTTATTTTAGAAATATGTTTATTAACACGAGCTAAACGTGTAGCAGGTGTTCGTTGTGTAACATATTGTAATTTATATTCATTAGATTCAAGTCAATTTGAAACAGTTCTCGAATCGTATCCATTAATGAGAAGAACAATGGAATCAGTTGCTGCTGAAAGACTTAATAAATTAGGAAAAAATCCTTCAATTATATCAACACGACATGATTTAAAACGTGATGCAGCTGTATTAAAAGATATGATAAATCGTGTAACACTTCAACCATCAAGTGATGAATCTGATGAAGAAGAAGATCATAAATCGTTATCATCATCATATAAAAGAAAACAAAGTCATTTTAAATCTTCATTAACATATATTCATGATCAATTGAATAAATCAAATGATTGTTTACAAAATTTAAATAAAAGACGAATAAAAACAAAAAGTTCATTAGGAAATAAAAAATATTCTCATAGTTATTTAGCCACACCACCATCAACATTAAATTCAACAAGAGATGAATATCAAAATGAAATTCGTAAATTTGCAACAACTCCTTTATCTATTTTTCGAAAAACTCCTTCATCAACCACTTTTTTTTCTAATCAACCTTGTTAATAGTCTCACTTTTTTTTTCTCTTTATTTTTTATGTCAATTCATTTATTAAATTTGTTTTTTTTATTTCACAAAAAAAAGAAACATCTAAATGCAATAAATAAATAGATGTCACTGATTGACAATGCAAAATAAATTGAAAATATTTTATTGGTCAATTCTCTTCTATAATAAACATAAGTCAGTCAAACATTGTTTTAGGCCCCAATCACACAGAAAAAGATAAAACAAATAAAGCGACGCGATTGGTCTATTCCGACTTAAATCGTCTTTTTGAGATGATTTAGGGGTCGAACACACTAGAGACAACTGACTTAACTTAAGTTTGAATTAAGTAATGTGATTGGTTAAGTCAGACTTAAGTGGTCCACAGAAGTGAGCCAAACATGTGAGCCAAAGTCAATAGGCTCATTTCATATAGAAGTTATAAGCCAATCAGATGAAAAGTCCATGTTTTACAACCATCCAAAATGATATTTTTCTTTTTCAACGCGATAGAGACATAATAGAATAACAGACAATGTACATCATAAACATGAATTGTTGGTTTCTTAATTTTCTGTTTTTTTTTCAGGTGCAAACTTTGAACTAATTCAGAGAGTGTTGTATAATTCGGTGATTTTCGAATATTATCGACAAGAATAATATGATTCTACTTCAAATTTACATCTAATCTCTTATTTGATACTTATTTTTTTTTGTTTTCAGATATAAAAATTAATCATTGTCAATGAAGAAAAGATTTTAAAAGTTATATTAGTGGCGAGATTAATTGCTGCCAATTGTATGTTGACTGAATCTTAGAATAATTTTAAAACAACATTTATGTGTTAGATTCTGATATACGACGGCATTCAACTGTTCGAAAAAATCGAAGTTACACTGTTGAGATGAAGGTGAACGAAATCTTTCGAAATAGATCAGTAGTCCTTTGAGATACCTATGTTATCTCAATACACTATAACTGTATTTTGTATTGAAAGCGATAAATTTAAACAATCAAGAGTTCAAACATGACTTCTGACATTTTACTATTGTGGGATGATATGAAAGGCAAGACAATAGTTAATAAAGTTTTTTATGATTTTTATTCTAATACTTGAGATTTCTTTCAATTTAAATTTTCAGATTATTTTATTGAGTCTTTCTTTTGAAAAGTTCAGAAATATGAACTGAAATCTTCAGAAAACAGTAGTAGATAAACTTTTTGACCTTCTAACGAGCAAAAATGGAAACTGGCTGCGAAGTTCTATACACCACAAGGTAGAGAAAGCGACGCTCTACAAAACCTACTAGATCACAATTCACCCAAATTTGAAAGAGATTTTTTATTAGGAGAGAAAGTTTGTGTAGCAGTGAACTTATTGTGGCCCGATTAAAAATTTTTCTTAGAAAATGAAAATGTTTTGGTTCATATTTGGTTCCATAGAGCTGAGCGCGGGCTATCAAAATATGTATAGAATGTTTCATTTTGATCTTAAAATAAAAGAGAAAACGTTCTCGCAAAAAATCAAAACTTTTTACTTTGACCATGATTTTCTGGAATTTTTGAAAACTGTATTTTGTTCATTTCAACTCTAATCCAGAATCAAACTCATAACAATTTATTATCAAAATGATCAGCTCATCGAGCTCTACAAATTCTGAAAGTTTCAGCGAATTCTGAGGAAGTCATGTATAAAGTGGTACGTTTCCCATGGATTCACCCATACCGATCATGCGCAGTTAAATACTTATACCTTCACAGTACTTGCCTAACATTACAGAAAAATGATCGCTAGAATGTTGTTGCTGAATTCTTTTCCACCATCTTATGTAACTAAAACTTATGTTCATAGCAATTTTTTTTTATATTGTTCTTTCATAACTCATTTGATAATAAATGTATATTTTCGATTTTTATTATTGAAATAAATTGAAAATAAATCTTCGAACACAAAGCAAATTCGATAGATATTTATATTTATGAATCAATACTAACAAGTGACACTAAAGTGGCAAAGGCATTCAAAATTTGACTACTATACTTCGGAATAGGAGATTCTTATTTAACGAAATTTATCGTATGATATTGAGCTATTGTTCATCGAATATTTTGAATTCCAACTTCTGGATTTCAGAACACATAATCAATGTCAACCGATCATTTACTAATAAAAAAAAACCGTAAAAATGAAAAGAAGTGAAGAAAACATGAAATATTAGATACAATGGAAAACAATCCAATCATGCACGACATCTTTCGATAGCTGTCTCATATTATCAGTCAAGATAGGTGAAATATGGACTGTGGATTTGACTTTGGTTCACGTCGAGTTTGGTTCACTTCTGACAACCGACTTAAGTCATCTTTTTGAGATGACTTAAGTCTAAATTAACCAATCACGTTGCTTAAATTTGTCTTAAGTTAAGTCACTTTTTCTAGTGTGTTCGACCCCTTATTCGTTAATTCTGTTTTAATTCACTTTGAATTAGTCGGTGTGATTGGGGCCTTATTCTCAGCAGATTGTTCTTCAGTTCTACACTTGATTAATCGTTTCAGACACGATTAATATTATTCAATTATTTTGATAAAAAAGAGTTGAAGATTTATTTTTCAATCGAATATGATTCTTCCTCTGATGTTAAGAGTAAATTTTATGTAAATCTATATTGTAGATTGTAGAGTGAAAACATTTTTTGTGTTGCCGTGTCTCGAATATTTACTATATTTGTTCTTCTAATTTTGATAAATAATGAATATCGACTGTTGTGTCAATTCAATATTTCTTTAGTTGTTTAACAAGTTGAGTAGATGTTAACTCTTCTACGGTTTTTGTGGGTGCGACGAGAGCCACAGCACTGTTTTTCGTTTTTTTCTACTTAAAGATCGAACCTTTTCGGAACCATCTTTCCGCTAATCGTTAGTCTTCTAACGATGCACAAGTGCTATATCAAATTTCGTACAAAAATCTTACCAGTAAGAAACTGAAATGTGGGTCCGCATAGACCCTCTAACACCTTTGATGTTATACAGCTGTTTTTTTTAATTCCTATTACATCTGCTCTCTACTGTCTTGAGAGTTTATTTATCTATAATTCGTTACTGCAACATTGCAAATAATGAATCGTGTGTTTTTTATCTTTGTCTGATGGATTTTCTTATATTTTGGTCGAGATATTTCTGCCATCGACTTTGGTCATGGTCATGACAATCATACCCGAGTTTTTTCCATTGAAAACAACTAGCCTGAAAACTTCAAAAGTTATTCAAGCACAGAACTCTTAATATAAGTGGCTATATATATATATATGTATAACGACATTCACTCTCCATACTATAGTCATATACATTGTTCATTCGACAACTTTTTAAAGCCATAATTTTATCATAATCCCTTCTCAAAAACTTTTTAAAAATGCAATGATTCTCATACATTACAATCATACTAACGTATCCATGGTTCGATAAAAATTATAATATAAGCTTTAATTTATCATCGTATCTAGAGCAAAATAGACAAAAAAAATCAAATTCTCCTAAGTCATTTACATGTGGGTCCTACTGAACCCACAAAATACAGTTTGTGTGATAAAATGAGAATATCGTCTGAGGGTTAAACTTCATCAGTTCTACGATAGCATTGTTCTTCAGTCAATACATTCTATACAACAACTATTTCATGATTTTCAAAAAAATGCTAATATTTCGACATTAAAACTAATAATAAATCCATTAGGATCCTTTGGAAGAGAAACAGATTGAAATATTTTATCATTATCGACTGATATATGAATTTTCGATAGTTGTGCTAATGTACTATTTTCCATATGAATATTATAAATAGTAAGAAGTAATTAAAAGACAGTTACCCATCTAAAATATCCATAAATCGTTAAATAAAAAGATTTCGTTATGACATTATTATATGGCATATACATCCAGCTAAATATAATTCATAAATAAAAGAGTACATTTATTTTGCGATGATTGTAAATAATTCAAACACGTGACGTGCATTAAAACTGAAATAAGCAATCTGATGACTTTTGTGATTTGGCAACAACAATCAAATGGTTTATTCAGTTTTAATCTGAGTTATTTATTTAATTCCTAACTAAAAACATGTTAACAAGTCCAACACACTATAAGAATAAAAAGTGAATTATGCAATCTGATGAGTGTTTCCACCTAGCGCACCAGTCAGATTACTTAATTAACTTTTAATTTCTATAGTCCGTGCAAGATCTTAGTCTTATTTTCATTAGAAAATTGAATGCTGAATTAAGAAACATGATCGATCGAAAAGTTAATTCGGATTTAATATGCTTTTACGTGAGGAGTTAAATTTAATGCATCAACTGGAAAAGAATTTGATGTACTAATTAAAATAATGAACGTATCTCGATGAAGTCACGTCATAAACATGACTAACGATAAGTACTTCATATAGTACACCTTACAAATTACATCAAAATTGAGACTGACAGATCGGAATAAAGAAAATAGATTTTAAAAAATTTGTTTTGACGAAGTATATAACGCGAACAATAAAATCCCTTGGGTAACGAATTTCGAAGTTGATTGATGTATTTATTAATGAGGAAAGATAGAGGCGATAATTCGTTTCATGAAATGCGCTAGACTTATACATATTGAGTGCATTTTAGTGGCAAGTTCTGAGTTCGGATTGATGTGTTAAAATAATAGATGAAGATGAACTACTGGCATCAAA